AAAAGAGTTAAAAGGCTAACTAAAAGAATTAAAAGGCTAACTAAAAGTTAAAAGTAGCATAAGAAAACAAAAATAAAGCAAAAAGCAATTTTTACAAAACAACAGTTTGATATATGGATACAATAGTACAAAATAATTAGACTGGGGAAAAAGCATACAAAAATGTAAAAAAAAAAAAAAAACCCAGGTAAAACAGGTCTTTATTTCTATTGAGCTTTATAAAAATGAAGTCCAAGCGTGTTAAAATCAAAACTTCTCCAGAAGCTTTCTGGTTCTCTTACACTTTGAGTGCAACATTTAGTCACTCTAATCCCAATGGTGCTCTAATCCTCCTGAATGATATTGAATCAACTTCAATATCAGCAAATTATTTTCAGATTGCTCCACTTGACATCCTGCTCTCTGACGAGCAGTATTCAGACTGCTCTGACATGTCTTCCTGTCCATGTCGAGCATCATACTGGTAAATTAACTTTCCAATAAACCACAGATTAGGATAATTTCCCTGGAAGATCATAAAGATGAAAAGAAAAACACTCAGAAGCACCTTTCTGTGTGAGCTCCATGACAACCCAAAATAAATGAAATTTGCTGTTGAACGTGGTGGTTATTTTTAGTGGGAGCTTCCTGAGCTTTTGGTGCAGGATCACTCAAAAATCCAAGTGACTGAGGTTTCCCAACAGAGTTCATTTGTGATTCAATCAGAATTGTAATATTCAATGTGACTTATTTAGTTAAATGACTTTTAAACAAACGTTTCATCACCTAGAGTTTATTAGTTATGTTTTTTAATGTGAAAATTCACAATGAAGTTTAATTCAGTGGTCATTTTTTAAATGTTCAGAGCAGTAAAGATCTACACAGAGTGATAGTGGTCACATCTGAGTAAGGAACAAAAGTTAAATAAAGACCTAACATTTCTGTCAGGAATGCATATCACCTTTCATTGTCCATGTCAGGGTTCTGGATAAACAAGCCAATGTCACCCATCACTGATGAATTTGAATAGTGACTGTTTGTAGATTTTGAAAGAAGTGTTTTTAGAAGTTTTTTTTTTTTCTTGTCCGAGGCAGCTTGAAGTGACGAATCCTGGCAAGCACAGGGAACAGTTTTATCCATCACCAGGTGCAAGGATGGAGCCAGGGGGTGGCCAGCGGTGGCTTTGGTCACCGTAGATTGATCTTCGGCCAACCCAGTCCTCTGAGGAAACTATACTTTTAAGCAACATAAAAACTAGAAAACAGTTTCCTCAAATAATAGGGGTGTCCAGTTTACATATACAATAGTCCCTCACTTATCGCAGGGCTTATGTTCCAGACACCCCCGCGATAGGCGAACGTCTGTGAAGTAGGGACGTTATTTTTATTTTAGTATTTATATTCAATTCAGTTTCAATTTGGTTTATTTATATAGCGCCAAATCACAGCAAAGTTGTCTCAGGGCACTTTACAG